AATGACCCCACGTTGAAAAAAAGATGTTGACTCCACTATTATACGTATCTGTGAACGTAAATCACGTACCACAATACAGTTAAGTTGCTAATTTTTTGTCCTAAATATGCTAAGGTAAAACTACTCTTTCTGTAAAAACCAAGTTTAAAATTGACTAAATAGCGCAAATGCTGATACATTATGAAGCTAAGAAAGCTTAAATAAAAATAGTATTCTTTTTTCAATATTAAATAAATATATATATATATATATATATCAAAACCATCATTTAGCCGTGATCATAGTAGAATCATAGTAGATCATAACAGAGTCAGAACAGACATAAATAGCACAACCGAATTATAAACAAAGTTTGAGAACCATTTGGACATAGTTTCATCGGTGTAATCATAACAATAAGCGACGAAGCGGACATGTTGCAGTGTTCGATGGCTGATTGACAAAATAAGATCGCAAGCGCATTTCGCGCGGGAAACAAAATGGCGGCTGTTTTTTATGTGTATTTAATGTTGGTTGGTGGTCTGTGTGTTCAAGCACTGCAAACACTGAAAGGTATGCATGTTATATTACATATTATGTTTTTTAAAACTATTCGTCTCAATCCCTTATACGAATCACTTTAACTTTTTAATTTTATTGTAATATAACAGTACACAGCAATAAAAATTCTTTGGACCTGTGGTAATTTAATTTATTACCATAAACGAACGTTAAAAAATATGAAGCTATGAAGTGTAATAAATAAAAATTAGTTATTTGTACTCGCAAATAATATTGGAAAAAAAAACACGTGCAACTAAAGCCTTTAACATTTATTTGATTTTTAGGAAAAGTAAGTTTATGTCAAGTTCAATAAGTTTGAATAGCTTATAGAAAAAATATAATGTCTTATTTCTACCTTACTTTTATTTAAATGAAATGTGTGCATGTTGATTTTGAGCAAACATTAAAGTGGTATCTAAAATAAAGAATTTATTTGTGTGGATGGTGTTTACTTATTTATTTATGTATTTGATATTATTAGGTGCACTAACAGCACAAATATAGAATAATATGCCTATTACAGGTTGTTATACACCCAACATTGATAGATAGAGTTAAACACACTTATAAACTGAAATGAAAAAAGTGGTAACACTAAAGATAAATAAACAGTGAATTAAAAAGGTTGGGTAATATGTCCCAACGATCAGTGGGAACTAGATCTATTGTACTCTAGAATAAGGACTTACTAAGTCTTTTATTAAAATAATGAGTAACCCAAAAACCCGTTTGAATTATTACATTTCTTTAATTATGTCTTATTCTGTCTAATATATATTATATAGCAATACTAGCGACGCGCCCCGGCTTCACCAGGGTGCAATGTTTTATACATAAACCTTCCTCTTGAATCACTCTATCTATTAAAAAAACCCACATTAAGATCCGTTGCGTACTTTTAAAGATCTAAGCATAGATAGTGACAGTCAGACAGCGAGTCGACATTGTTTCATACTATGTAGTGATATATCAGTGGCAATAACTACGTTTTTCTGAATAACGACGTAAAGGTGTATTCTATGTACGCTGATGTATAGCGAGTCAGATTTGGAGGTGAAATGTTTATAATCTATATTAATACGTGAAGCGAAAACTTTGGATACATTTTGAAGAATATTATGCTTACGGAGGAAAGTGAGGCTAAGCCCAGTTAAACTCATATAGGTAAGAAGTGCAGAAAGCTAATATTAATGTAAAATTGAACTTAAAAAAAAAAAACATTCATTGTTTACGTTCATATCATCAAGGTCAAACGCGTAATAATCTGTTGCCAAACTTGCACCGATTAAAAATTGACCGTCACCACAGAATTTAATTATGTCAAATTGACTGTATCAGTTCGCGAGTAGAAAAAAGTAACACAACACAATATTCGATAAAATAAATTGAAGCGAATAATATAATTCCTAAAGAAACACATTTCTTCGTTCCATTTTACCCAAAGTGTATGTAATGGGATCGCCCAATAGGAGGCCGCCTTAGGATCCTGAACAAACTGTTAAACGGAAAAAGCAAAGAATCGTAAATCTCGGCCGACCTAAGCATATTTTAGACGGGGTTTAATATGTTTTTATGTGAGAAGGTGATAAGTGAGTTGGCGGTTCGCCTGATGATAAGTGATAACCACCGCCTATGGTCTGCAACACCCCTAGGGTTGCAGATGTGGCTCCACCGTTTAGAAAGTGGGCCCCGGTTATCTCACTACATTTCGTGTGCAACACTTTAGCTTCAATGCGATCTTCTGTTAGGCTGAGGTATGCGATCTTCTGTTTGGGGGAGCCAAATAGCCAGCCTGTTTGTGCAACAGACACAAGTAATATTTAACTACTAGTTGTAATATAAGTAATCGTCGTTCCTTCACTTCATAGTATAAAACAAAGTAGTCCCGCTGTCTGTCTGTTCCTATGTATGCTTAGATCTGTAAAACTACGCGGATCTTGAGGTGGTTTTCTTTACTAGATTGCGTGATTATATTTGCGAGAGGAAGATTTATAATTATGTATAATACATTGCACCTAGTCGCTAGTTTTAAATAATATTTTCAGAGGGTCACGTCTAAATATACTTAGTAAAGTGGTCAAGCGTAAATATTAGGTTGGTATGATTAAAATTTTTAAAAATTCGTATTCCCAATTTACTTCACTATTGATTTACTGATATTGTAAATTCGAGATTTTGTATGTGCTTAGTGGAAATAAAAAACCATCAGAGCTTACATTTATACTGGTATACGAAATAAGATCTGTATTTCGTATACCAGTTTGTATGTTACATTCGGTTCCAAATTAATCAACAATTCAATCGATGGTACAGTCTTAATTTGTTGCTGTAAATATTGTAGACTTTTAATGTACATAATTATATTGCATGTTCTATTGAACGATTCTATTGAACGCCTATATTTACAAATACATTCTGTGATTGTGAAATTTAACCGTCGCTTACAACCGTAAACTTATTGACACTATTGTTTTGTGTCTAGGATCATATTATTCTCAGATTTTTTTTTTCATAGATTTTGGAATATAACCAATATTTTACAACCCGATTGGCCTAATGGGTAGTAACGTTGCCTCTTGCGACAGAGGGTGTGTGTTTGGTATTTTATATATTTATAACATGTTTAAATTTACAAAAGAAAAGTATGTTTTAGTATGTTAATCGGTTATCTAGTACCCATAGTACAAGCGTTGCTTAATTTGGGATTAGAAAACGTTGTGTAAAAATGTGTCCTGAAATATATATCATTTAGGTACGTACCAATTCTCAAACATTCTTACGTAAATGCTGATATTATTCGCTGATAGATTCTATTTATTTTTTTTTAGGTTTAGGTAGCAATTAACGATGTAGGCAAAAGCAAAAGCTGATACAGAGTTACGATTTTACGAAGAAAAGATGTGATATTGAAAACTAAACACTCAGTTATCAATGCATCGATAAATACGATTGTCCTTTGGTGGATTTACGAATGTATCAATAGACAAATAAATAATTAAAGACAATATGGTTCTGTACTTTCAACTCATCCTCGTCTGTTTATCAATCGATTTTCTTTGTTAGTTTAGTGGCAATCGACGATCTTTAGTGTTATAATTAAGAAAATTAAACACTTTTGTTTCCCTACCTTTACTATTGTAAATTCTAAAACTAAGAGCACTTGTAGTGTTAAAAGACATACATTTTACAGATATACGGTCTCAGTTATACGGAAGTGTAAAGATCAATTGATATCGATCCAATTTTTAAATATTATGACTTTTTTAGTATTACAAATTTAAGTATGTTTTCGATTAATTTCAATTTTCCTATAACATCATCGTACCTACATCCTATTGTTATCGCTACACTCATAACCATCTGCTGGTTTTGATTGAACCAGTTTGTTAACTTCATTGAACCACTTTAGAAAGATACAACATAATAAGCTGTTATTTATTTAATCCAGTCAATTTTATGGTATTTTAAGTTTCTATAAGCACCAGCTCACTCCTTGGCGCTCTTGTCCTATTAAATATTTAATTATTACTATCCGAACATATATTGCACAAATACTTCTTTAATTATTAATCACAGCCCAATTTTCAAAAGATTGTCAACGCATCTGTAACCCTCGGGTGTGGCAGATGTCCATGGGCGGCGGTATTCACATAACATCAGGTGAACCATCTGCTCGTTTGACAACTTTTAGCATAAAAAAAATTGAATTCATGAACCGGAGCCCGAAGTTAATGAGTTAAAGGACTAGTGAAAAACTCTCGCTGTTCCAGCAAAAGCGAAGAAAAAACTTGTGAAAGAAGATTGTCGTTTACATCAAAATTTCTAAAAGCATTACGATTTTATTCAACTCAAATAAATGTTAAAGAACTTTGCAAGTTAATTTATTAGCGCAATGTGAGTTTTCTTCCTTTTTAAGAAATTCTTATTTTTTGAAAAGGAGCCAAGACTTGTCTTATAATATATACATTAGGAAGCCGGATGCTGTTACTTCCTCCATCTCTTGCCAAAAATTGCATATATAAGAGAAAAAAAGAAATTTTTTCATCATAAAACTTTCTTTAAACTGATGAACAAGTAAAATTCCTCCTAAAATGTTATGCCCCTGATATTTTCGAAGAAAAAAAATATTTTTTCTTTGCTTGCGTATTTTTTCAGTAAAAAATAAAACTATCATTGTAATGATCATAACTGAGGTAAGTACCACTGCTGGACAAAGGCCTCTTCTGTGCAGAGGGTATCAAGGCATAGTCCAACACGCGACCCGACTGAGGATTGGCAGACTTCAAATTTTTTTTTTCAAATCTTCGAAATTTTTTTGACGTGATAAATCAGCACATAAGTTTATCAATTTCATTTGTGCCGGCACCGGGGATCCTACTCAGGTTGCTCGAATAAATTGAATTAAAGGCGAGCCCCCGGACACTGAGCTATCACGGCTTAATATCTAATGATATGTAATGAATTGCATTCCAGTACTCTACTGCCAGGATCCTGACACGGGGGTGCTGCATCCAGTAAATACAACATGGCCTTCCCAGTCGTTTTGTGGAAATTATACTTGCCAATTAAGGAAGAAGCATGAAAACACCTCAGAGCCCGTCAGTCCGATAAGAAAAATCAACATAACAAACATCAATATAAATTTCCACAAGAGCAAAGAAGATATGTCTCATGCTGCGAGTGATAATGTAAATGTCGGTATGAGAATTGATTCTGGACTGTCGCATTTGCTTAACAAAGTAAGTTATGGAGATAAGAGAGTGAACGAACAAAGGCCAATCGATCATTCTAAAACAGATACGGAGGGAGATCGCTATTTAACCGAAAGTGAAATAAAAACTATAACGGATATGCTTCATACGGTTAAGAAGAGTGATCTAGAAGCAATAGTGGATATATATAATTTAGCACAGGATATTTACAAGGAGTTTGGTCAGAATCCAAGTGAACCGTTAATTCAAGAAACCATGACCTCTATCCATTCACATGGCAATACGAACACAGAGACCATAAACAAAGATAAAGAAAAAGTTTCTTATTGGTACGAGCCCTTAAATTTCCATAGCGCTAAGATCAAACCTCAGACCGACGCAAAGACCGAAGCGACGACGACATCGACCACAACCAGACAAACGACAAATAGCAAAGAAAACTTTAATACGTACTTTAGAGGCTCTTTAACCGACAAAGATTTTCGTAAATTGCCCTATTACTATCCGATATCGAGCTTCCAAAGGGTTTCTGCACACACTCAAGGCGTCAAACAGGAGGAAGCTTCTCAAGCCACAGTTACTGAACGAAAACCATGTAAAAAGCAAGAGACACCCATCAGTAACTACGTCTTACCGCCGTGGCTGAACAAATCCCTAAAGAAGGCCTATGGAACGGGTACTCAACAAAGCGGTTTCGATACGGCGCTTCTTTTGCCATTGCCATTTGCTTACGTCAACAACAATAATTTAAGTGGTTACCCGCCAAATGTTTACTATAGCGCATACAGTGGGTTCCCATGGGCACATATGAGTATATACGATAGGAACCGAAATTATCAACAATCTTACTTGGGAGCAGCGTACGTCGCGCAAGCTCCCAATGAATCGGTGTTCATCAAACCCCACACAGAAGAGGAAGTCGAAACACCCCAGAACAGCATCACTAAAGAAGATATCATAGATATTATATCAAATTTGAAAGATAAGGAAATGAAGAAGATGCCTGAATGGCAAACGCATCCACTCCCAGAGAAGGTCATTGAAGAAGTCAGGGGGCACGCAGAGAAATCGAAAATATTCAAACCTTATCCCTTAAGAAAAAAAGTTAAATTTGAAAGAGTTGGCAAAGTTATTAAGCTTGACGAAAGTTTAAGATCAAAGAGAAGTGTCAGTGAATATAAGAGCACAGTTGAGAAAGAAGATGATTACGAAACATACATTACTAAGATTACGTAAGTAATATATATGATTCATTTAATTATCAAGATTTACAGCTATAGTTTTTTTAAAGGTTCCTTAGAGCTCCTAATGTGGACAAATAATAAGACAAATTATTGTAAATATAGGTGGTAGGGCCACGCAGCAGCCTCAGCTGTTGCACAAATACGCACAATACGAAGTATAATACTTTCGCGTTGCGTCTGGTGAGTGAGGTAGCCGGAGCCCAATTTTCAAAAGTCAACGCACCTGCAACCATTGGGTGTAGCAGATGTCTATGGGCGGCGGTATTCACTTAACATCAGGTAACCGCCTGCTCGCTTGGCAACTTTTGGTATAAAAAAAAAGGCTAAGGTAAGACAAATGGTGTCAAATCTTACCACTCGACAATTACATTTATGCTGCTTTAAAATACAAAAGAACATAAATTTAAGCATGAGTTCTTGTATTTTATAATAACTGAAAATATGAATGCAAGAAAAAGACCAATATACTGTATATCATGTCATAACATTATGGTAAGGCAGAATAATTCCATGGTCCACATTTCATTTATATTAATAACTCCCGAAAGGCATTCCGTTTTAAGTAGGTGGTGTTGGATGAACGCGGCCAGGCGAGGGTCGTTTTTTTCTAAGGATAACACACACTCCAGTCGTAACACCTTTGCCACAAAAAGTTGACAAATTAGTAAAAAATAATATGGGACTGGAACGCAAACCTTTGTCACGGACAGATGTTACTGCCTTGTCAGGTTTTAATCACAGAGTTTTTTTTTGTTTTGTTATATCTTAGAGCGAGCCCTGCGTCATGAGTGAAAGGGTTTTAATGATTGCTTGTGCACCAATGTGCTGAACAATAATCAAGTGTTAGTTGATGACTACGGCAAAACAGTTTTATCATTGAGAAGTAAAAGTCATGTATTAATAGTATGTCCTGTGACCATGAACGCTGGAAAGAGTCGAAACGTCGGGAATTAAAAAACCAAAAATTAAAACTGCGTAATGTTATATGCATAATATTCGCGTAAAATCAAGAAATCAAAAAGTAATGTATTATTGTTACTTGCAAACTATGTTTGCATTACATTATTTCCAGAAATTCATTGGCGATAAGCACCATTGCTTTGATTCTATTTGCTTTATTTCCCATTTAAAATATGAAGGGAAAATGTAAACGTTTCGTTCGTAAATAAAAGTTTTTCTAACCATCAGTGACCAACAGCAAGGAAGTCATCTGAACTCAACCGGAAATTAAAGGGCCGCCTGCACCTTTTAATAATGTAATAGCTTTATTCTGCTGTCGTGATATATTTACTGTGCACCAAAAATGCCAGTCACAAAGTAAAACAGACTAGATATTTTATTTATATACCCTATGTTTATGTATATATGAAGATTTATTATATTTAACTTAACGACAAATGATGACGTAAAAAGGCAACAACTAAGATATCTTGCAATAGAGTGGTTCGTGGACACTTGGCAAAGACTTCGGTGGTAAGGCCACGCAGCAGCCTCGGCTGTTGCACGAATGGGCAGGCTCGTCCGGGTAAAAGACCGGTGTAAAGTGGAAGTATAATACTTTCGCGTTTCGTCTGGTGAGTGAGGTGGCCGTAGCCCAATTTTCAAAAGGATGTCAACGCATCTGCAACCCTCGGGTGTAGCAGATGTTCAGTGGTTGGGTTATTCACTTAATATCAGGTAAACCGTCTGCTCGTTTGACAATTTTTCACATAAATAAAAGACAACCTTTAGTTAAGATGATCATCATCATTCCGCCCTTCATCACCTAGGTGGGCTCGGCACTACATGTGAATCATGTGGTAAGCGGTTTTGGCTATGTTTTTACGACTGGCCGCCCCCTGACGTCAACCCTCGTTGGAAAATATAATACAACCTTTACTTAAGGTATAGGCTGTTATTAAAAGTAGAAGTACATTACCATTTCTATATTTATGCATACATTTTTATACGTTTATATTTGTCTTACCACAACCAGAGTTGAAAAGGAGGCCCTTGGGATATCCACCCTTTTTTACATGTTTTATTTAAGGTCGACAATAAAGATTAAATACATTTTTTTTAATATAATTAATTGAAACGACATTCGTTACTTGAATAATTAGAAAATAAACAAAGGGATATGCACTAAGGTATTCACAAACATTTTGTACACTCGGTCGTTAGTTAGGCTTCCCTCATTATGGATGTCCCGCGCTGTTGCGAAGCCCCGTTGATAAAATCCTAAGTTTTGTCAAACGGAACAGTATTGTGCGATTCGTAACAAAACACTGTGCTCGGGTCGATTTTAGTTTTCGAGCAGTTTTGGCGGTGAACTTTTTAATTAGCTCCATCCCGTTTCGGTTTTGTGCAAGTTGCTCCATTATTTTTTTTGTATTTATTCAACGAATACAAAGAAACAAATGTTAGCGCAGGTAACATTTAAATTATCATAATTAAAATATAAATCAATGATGCTTAATAATATAGATGACGCATGTCCATACAGCACGGCGTTCAAAAACTGTTCCGCTTTATATTATATGACATATACAAGGGAATGTGACTTAGGATTTTTGTTCCGACAGAAAAAGCAGTCTATAGAATTGAAATATACTTAGACCAATTGATGTAATTTGAGCGTCTCAGTCTCCTCCTCTCCTCAGTTTGGTAGGGCCACGCAGCAGCCTCGGCTGCTGCACGAATGGCCAGGCTCGTCCGGGTAAGTATCACGACCTAACAGAAGACCGGCGCGAAGTGGAAGTATAATACTTTCGCGTTTCGTCTGTTGATTGGGGTAACCGGAGCCCAATTTTCAAAAGGTTGTCAACGCATCTGCAACCCTCGGATGTAACAGATGTCCATGGGCGGCGGTGTTCACTTAACATCAGGTGAGCCGCCTGCTCACTTGGCAACTTTTCCCATAAAAAAGTATATATATTTATGACAACGATACTTGCCACTCGAACAAATTTATAATAACAGAAAAACACCTGGATTTCAAATAATTCTTCTAAGTTTTATTTATTGAGCACTTTTCCTTATCTAGAAAAAGGTTGATCCACGTGATGTGTTGTATATCCGTTGCGTTCACAAGATTTAAATGTGTATTTCACTCTCCAGATGACAGGCAGTACCTTAGCAACTCGACGTAAGGTATCGGCATCGGCGTCGGAGGTAGTGGGTTCGATCCCCACACGGGACAACTATTTTCGTGTGATCCACAGATAGTTGTTTCGCATCTGAGTGTTGTCCACGTGAAATTCATGTTTGTAAAACGTCCTTACAACACAGGATAATATTATCCTAAAGTAAGGGCAATGTTTAAAAAAACCTACTCAACGATGGTCTTCTAAACTTTTCGTTTGCTTTTCAGCTGCGAACCCAGCACTGAGCCGGGATTCTTCCGCAGAGGGAACATGAGCCGGCAGTTCCCAGCCTGTTGTCCAGAACGGGTTGAAACGTGGCCGTGACGTCATCAAACCTTCAAGACTTTTCAGTGTTTATGCATAACCGATCGCTTGGTGCTAACGTTTCTTAACCCATCAAATTAATGACTATTTTTTGTCATCTAATAATGATGTGATTAATCCGTCAACTGGTAGACGTAATCATTATAATGATAGTAATGATGGTGAACTATCGTGATTGTGACAGATAAATAAGGCCCCCTAATCGTTAAACTTAAGTCTAAAGGCATGAATGCAACATGACCTCGAACAATTCTAAAAAAGTCTCTAATGCAAAATTGACGTGTTTATAGTCTAACAGGTTTGCTTTTGTATATTAAAAGAACATTTAAATTTTTCACTATGAAATTCAATACACTATCATTTAATTATGTTGTTGAAGCAAAGCATTGCTCTTTAGACTGATACTTACACTTAATACCATTAACAAGTTATGTTTCTAGCATAGTGTGTATATAATTATTTTGTTTAAAAAAGCGTTTTTTAAACAAAATAATTATATACATATTATAAATAGTTTTTTTGTCACAAAAGCCTTTTTATTTAATGTACTCATCAAACAGACAAACAATCACTCCCTTTTTATATAAATATATTAACAACAAATATAGCACCCTTGAAAATAATTAAAGGTCTATAAAACAAAACTTAGTTAAAAATATAATAAGAATAAAAGCATTTTCAAATTCCAACACTTGTTAGTTGTAGACAAAACCTAAACAACTATTCTTAGGTAAAGTTCCACTAAAAGTTTTCAAGTCTAGCTTTTCGATAGACTCATCATCAATTTGCGGACTTGATTACAATTGACAACCAAAAACTAAACCAGTCCAGAGCAACCACGAACGCGATAGAAAATAATTTATCGAATCATAAAAGTCGCTTTGTTAAAAATGCATTAGTCTTGTCTACGCGATCCCAATTAAAAAGGATGGCGGCAGGATAGTGCCTAATTTAAAATTAATCACCAAAAAAACTGTACCAATAAATCAGATAGGCCGAGCCCCACAAGGAGTGAAAGAGACGGCAGCATCGTGCGACAAGAAGGACCTGCTTTTTTGAGCGTTAAGCTTATGTTTTGTCATACATTTTCGTGATTAAATTTATGACACATTTGAATTATCTCCAGGAATGTGACGGCTCTTGTGAAGGGGCCGTTGTGATATTTTAAATTTAATGAATGGCCGTATAGATTGTATCGGAAATATTTAAAAAAAGAAGAAAAAAGAAGGATTGTTGAAAAAGGTTATTTATTTTAGTTTTTTATAGTACTAATCTCTGCATTTAAGATGAAACCTTTATTTGTTATATCACATTATCAGTTTCATTGATTACACATATTATCAATGATCTGAAAAAACATCTATCTATATATTAAAATAAATCTATATGTTAATACGTGAAGCAAAAACTTTGTACCCTTTTTACGAAAATTGCGCGGACGGAGGAGTATGAAATTTTCCACACTTATAGTTTATATAGAGAAGGAGCGCAGAATGCTATTTTTTTAATTATGCATAAAAATACATTAAAAAATAAAAAAAACATTACACACTGCTATATATAATTGATTATGTCGAATTTCGACCACTGGGTGACCACTAGTATAATAAGATTTGTGAAGTTAACGCGATAAAGTTTATCAAAAAAAACTTTAAATGCATACGACAATTTTAGTTCTAACAATTCAAGACTTTTATTACCTGCATGCTATACCTACCTTATTTTCATAAGTAGTCAGGAAAAAAAATCCTTATCCTCTTTGTTTATTATTGTCACTTTTTACATTGGGAAATTCATTTAGAAAAATAAACAAATACGTCAAAAAATTGGTCATAATAATATTTAATCAACGAGAGTCGAACCCTAGACCCGTGGCATCAACACTGCATGTAGCAGTCGATTTGAATTATGCCTTTATGGATATGATGTCCACTTTTGCATGGGGAAATGCCCAAGCCATGTACGAAAACCAGATAGTTAACATGTTAAGGAACTTAACCTAGATGTAGAATTTATTTATTTTTATTACGTTTAAAGATGCCGATGTTTATGTATCCAGCAATATTATTTAAAAAACACACGCTAACTATGTACACGCAGTTGCAAATAAATACGAACTATACGAGAGCAAAAGTTGACCCAACGTATGGAACATTAAATTTCTTCCAAATAAAACGTTTATTTTGAATCCATCATTACTAAACAAAGTATATAATCTAAATAAAGTAACCCGAAATAAAGTTTTAACTTGTCAATTCCATTTACAGAACAGTGTTCGCTGTTGCACGAATGGGCAGGTCCGTCCGGGTTAGTACCACGACCTCACAGAAGACCGGCGTGAAGTAGAAGCAGAACACTTCTGCGTTTCATCTGGCTAGTGAGGTAGCCGAGGCCCGCTTTATTAAGAGGCGGCAACGCATCTGTAACCCTACGGGTGTTGCAAATGTAAACGATCAGGCGGCTATAACTTAACATCAGGTGAACTGCCAGCTTCTTTGACGCTTGTTAACTTAAAGAAACCTGTAAATGTTTGGGTATTTTTAGCCGATCACTTATACCCTAAAAATGACCATACCATTTTTGGGCCAAAATCGAGTCTGATTAGAATTGATAATTTTTTTTGAATTATCAAAAATTTAAAGACTAAATTGTTCAATCTGAACTTTATCAATTCGTAACAAAAGCTGACTACAGCGTATCCTTTACCTTAAAACCAAAATCAAATCAATGGAGTATAGCCTATAACGTTTCCGTACAAAAAATGGTCCAACGCGGGTTTCACTTAAAAAAGCATTTGCCCTACTGCGCCAGTGACTTATCGTCGGCCGTTAGAGAGGGATAGGGTTATTGCATTACTGAAAGGGCGAAAGAGCTGGCGAGAGAGACGGCAGAAATATTCAAATTAAGTCCTCCCCTTAATGTCGGACATTATTTTTTTATCGGCGCGTATAAATAGAGATATGAGTGTGGCGGCTTTAGTTCTCTTCCCGGAGGGGACGCGTTATCTTGAAAACAAGAACACAGGAATTATGTGGTGGGCTCGTTGTAGAAGTAATACAGTTTTCCGTAGGACTTTGTTAGTAATCGTAAGTGTGGTCGATGACTGATGACTGTTGTTTAGCTACTTCGGCGCGGTGGTCGTGGGTTCGACCGCCACACGGGACAAGTAGTTGTGTGACCGACGGATAATTTTGTTTATCCCCAAGTAACAATTGAAGACATGTTGTGCCGACCCCACAACGGGTGGGATAAGGACAGTGGAAAGAAGAAGTATGATACACGCTTCGGGAGTTGTTTGTGTCTTATGCTTATTCCATACCGCTTTTTGCCGCGACACCTTAGGTCGATCGATGGTACTCTACATAAGATGGTACTCTAAGAAAGAGTACCTTTTGTAATGTATTGAAATTGGTCAAACTGTACCAGTTTGGGGTGAGCATGGGATCAGTCAAAAAAAGGAGGTTGGGGGATTTAAGTGGAACCATAGAAGTCAAGGAACGGTGACCGCTTAAAAGCGGTTATGGAAAAATACCAGATTAATCGATTTAAATGAGAATCAGGAGAAATGAAAACTTTTTAGCAAGATAACAAAATCACCTGTTAACTTATCCTGTATATTTTGACCTATAACGTGAAGTTTTTCTCTTAGTTTTGTCTTTACTATAGTAAGTTAGCGGCAGGTATGAAACCATCAATCGACCATCATGTAATTCATTAAGAGCTTATTCATATACCGCAATAAAGAGCACATAATGGTGCTCGCCTTTGAGTATAAAATTCCTTACAATATGACTCGAAATCCCAGTCATTTAAATTAACCAAATGCAAAAATAAAATTCGTAAAAGTCTCGAAAGGTATCTTGCGTTAACTATGTAAATTCCAAGGGATCAAAGCTGTCCCAGCACTCTACTGGGACAGGAATCACCCGATGTCAATACATTCAAATCGAATACAAGATTCACTACTACATGCACGTACCAAAACCATTAAAGCAAGCGTTCACATACAACAAACATTCCTGTGACAAGGTGAGACGTCCAAACACGGATTAACATTTGGTTCAGTTAACTAAAATATTTGTTTTGTTCCCAGATAACGTGCTCTCAGACCAATTTTAGAGCGCCTTTTCTATGCCACACAATGCGAGAATGTCGTGCAGGCTTACATTATCTCCATTTTGAAATTCTCTACTTAGTTGTCTTTATTTGAAAACGTTTACTTTTTATTCAAAAACAGATTCATCTGATTGCGGCCTTGTAGTTGGAATACTACCGTCATATTTTGGTCTTACCGAAAATAGAATAGAATAGAATAAAATAGTATCACTACATAGTATACAACAAGGTCGTCACTCTGTCTGTCTGTCCCTATGTATGGTTAGATCTTTAAAACTACACAACGGATCTTGATACGGTTTTTTTAACTAGATAGATTGATTTAAGAAGAAGGTTTATATGTATAATAATTAGCACCCGTGCGAAGCGAAGATATTGATAAATATGTTGCGGGATAACGGTGCAAAAACATAAAATATAATACATATCTATATAATTTATGTACCTACCCTTTACGGTGGTAGGGCCGCGCAGCAGCCGGCTGTTGCACGAATGGGCAGGCTCGGATAAGTACCACGACCTCACCGAAGACCGGCGTAAAGTGGAAGTATAATACTTTCGCGTTTCGTCTGGTGAGTGAGGTGGCCGGAGCCCAATTTTCAAAAGATTATCAACGCATCTGCAACCCTCGGGTGTAGCAGATGTCCATGGACGGCGGTATTCACTTAACATCAGGTGAACCGTCTGCTCGATTGGCAACTTTTCACATGAGAAAAATAATAAATAACACAATTTATTACATTACTGCGAGTAGTTTTTTTCACTATACAAGTCTACCGAGGGTCCATTCATTAAAAAAATCCACAATTTTGCCGCTCCATTGATATTTTTCGCATTTACCAAGGGCCCTCCACCAGATCAGAGTTTTTTTTTTATATGAA